CCAAAACCCACCTCCACCAGCCTCTTCCATACTAGCACAAGCAAACTCTCAAGCCCCACTTCACAGCAACCATTGGATCGATCCAGTCAACCATGGCATAACAACCAATGGATCTAGGTGTGTGTGTAAGTCTATATATATATATATATATATATACGAATCAGAGAACGTTGGGTTTCACCCCTCTTATATATATACAAATCAGAGGAGGGAGTTGGGTTTCACCTCTATACGAATCAGAGGAGGGAGTTTGGTTTCACCAAAAGAGGGAAAGCAGTTCGGTCGTGATATATATATATATATATATATATATACGAATCAGAGGAGGGAGTTAAGTTTCACCAGGGAAGCAATTTCAGTTGTTCGAGCATGGTGGGTGGAGTTGGGTTAGGGTTGAATTGGATTTCGCCGGTGGAGTTGGGTTTCGCCGGTGCAAATTAAGGTTGAATTGGATTTTATTTTATTTTTTTTCAAAACAAAAGATTGAGATATGGGTAGTTTTGTACTTTTGATCAAATTTAGATAATTTTTATATCAAATTTCTGTCATTTTTAATGGTGTCAACTTCCGGAGGACTTAATTAAAAAATATTCTAACATTAAGGGACAAATTGTCGAATTTAAAACTTGAGTGAGTCGATTGCAACATGACCCAAACTTGGAGGGGATATTTTATAATTAATCTTTTAATTAATGTTATAATTTTATCTTATAATAATCCGACCAATATGTTAATTGTGTTATGTTTAAACAAAATATTTAATTGGAATCTCTTCCGTCTCAATTGAATATCCAGTTGGTGTAAATGCTTGCAAAGTTAACCAAAAATTCGGTGATTATAAAAGTGTTTTTAAACTATTAAATCTAGCATAAAAATCACAAACAAATACTATTTTTTGTATTATAAAAACCAAAATTTTCTCTTGGAAAATCAAATTTAAATTTGATATTAGCCTAATCTATTTGTTGTTTGCAGTAATAAATTATTTTAATTTTGAATTCATATAAAAAAATTGAAAATGCTACAATATCGAAATTTTCGGTACTTTACCACTATATACACTTTTTTAGAACTTTTGTATAATATGTAGGAGTCATTTACGACTATTACCATTTTTAAAATCGATCCTAAATATTTACAATTGAAACTTCTAAAAAATTTTAACTTGATTTCCAAAAAATTATAAATAATCCCATATTTTTTATTTTTTATAAATCAATCATAACACTTTAAGATTGACTGTAATATTTTTAATTGTAACTAGACCCAACAACTCATATAATCATCCAAAAAATTATGAACTCCATTTTGATATCGAAATCAAATTCAAAAATTTAAGAATGTACTATAAATTTAGAAATCTTAAATTTAATATTTGAAAACTTTTTAAAGACCAGGCAATGAATAATTTAGGCCATATTTACTTTGTGTATAAAAAAATAATATATAAAAATTATTTTTGAGAAAAATTTTTAAAAATTATTTTTTGTGTCGGAGAACTTGTTTAGTTATATGATTCTAAAAACAGTTATACATAATAGAAATCAATAAAACTTATTTAAACAATAATTTAAAAAATAATAAAAATAAAAATGTGGTGATAGTGGAAGTGAAAGTGTGAGGGTGATGGTGATAGTAGTGACAGTGGTGACAGTTGTGCTAGAAGTACAGTGGCAACCGTTGCAATGGAATTATCGTGGTGGCACGGAGAAAGTGGTTGAAATATGGTAATAGTAATGTTTTCTAAATTTTAAAAAATTATTTCTAAAAATATAAAAAATAACTCTAACTTATTCTTTAAATTTATTAATTTTTTTTTCAGTTTTTAAAAAATAAAAACAAAAAATCAAACAATTTTTTTGGTAAAAATAATTTTTGAAATACAAATTAAATAAGATCTTATTTTTTTATAAATTTTTTATTCTATATTATAAAAAAAATTTAATGGAGATGAACGTAAATCTTTCCTAAATCATTCCCTTACTATAATAACAAACAAAAAAGCGAAGAAGAGATAAAGGAAGCAAGGCGTGAATTGTCAACGTCAGTGACATAAATACCGGCTGGTCCCGTCAATCTACTTGTGGGGTCCCACCTCTGTTTCTGTTTCCCACCACCTGCTCTTCTGACAATCTTCAGATGTTTTGATTCTTTTCTTTTCCCCAAGTTTTTCTTGTGGGATGAAAAACACTATTGTACCCTTTTTCTTTTTCTTTTTGCTGTTTTTTTTATATCATATTAAAAAATATATAATTTTTTTACAAAAAATAAATATTATCAAAAAAAAATTGTCTTTTTTGCCATTTTAATATTTTAATTTGTCATTTCAACTTTTTATGATGTTTATTTTATTAATAATCTCTGCAAAATACTTTCTTCTTTTTAAATCCATTCAAATATTTAGAGGAAAAAGTTGCATGATGAATTTTAATTATTTTACTTACATCTGAACCGTGATATAATTCTAAGTTTTTAATCAATTTTAAAACTTATAAATATGAGAAAAACTATGGTACCAATTTTAGTACCGTAACAAAATTTAAAATTTTTTAAAAATTAGTTACAATTATAAAAAACAAGATTGTCTCTAAAATGTTAAATCTTTAAAAATCAAGTTACATATTTCTTAGGTAAAGTTATAACTGATTTGAGTTATTTCATGATCAATTATAATATTTTATGATCGATCAATGAATTATATCAATCAACTGAAAGTTCTTCTTTAAAAATTATAATTTAACCTTAAAAATTAATAATTTTTGATATTATACTGATTTTTTTATCGTAGAATTACCCGATAAAAATGGAGCACAATTAATATATTTAGAAGACACCATGTCTAGGCGGCTATTCTTATAATTTTGATGGCCCGAGGTACATATAGAAGTATTTTCCTCTGATAATAACACCTAGAGAAACATTGAACATTACTAGGTGAGAATATATTGGTGAGTGTAAAGTATTAGGGTGTTAGGGACATTTTTATACAAAGTGCATGGGAAAATGGAAAAACTTTTTCAAAGAAGGTTTTCCCATTGAAGGCTTGAACCACCTAGACTCTCACCAAACTATCAAACTATCCGATAATAATTACCGGGTCTTCCACCTCTCTTTTGTGATTCCAACTTTTAAGAAATAATAATGTTGAAAAAACAACTAATTAGGATTCTATTTGTAATTTAAATCAATCGAGTTCGAACAATTTTTAAAATTCGTTTTCTTAAAAGACTCAACTTATTTATATGTAAAATAATTGAACTATTTGAATTTGGTTCAAGTTCGCCTTGTTTGGGCTAAAAAACGAGCCAAGTTTGAAACATTTTTTAGACTCATTTAAAAAAAGAGCTCGATAAACTCCGGTTGGCCTATATTTCCTGTACTGAAAATTCGTCATATTATCTCTTACTTGAAACCAAAAAAATATTATACAAACATTATTTTTCCAAAAAATAATGCACATTAAACACATAAATTAAGCATATTTTGATGTTATACCATGACTTTGCAGCACCATTTCATAGATTTATTAACTTACATGTGGGCGTGAAACAAAGATGCTAAATGTTGAAAAAATTGATTATGGATAATTTTACAGTATCCAAAACAAATTGTGAATTTTAGATTGAATTTGACGGGGAGTCATAGATTTTAGTTTAATTGATTTATAATAATTGATTATAAAAAATGATAACATAGTGTACAACAATAATAAAAAATTATTAAACAAGAAGTTGAGATTAAAAAAAAATGACTATTGTCAATTTCAAGAGGTAATTAAAGTAGTATGAGGAAGAATTATAAACTCAGACATCTTGATTTCGAATTTTGATAGTTCTTTGAACTCAAATCATAAGAAATTATTATAGTTCCAGATCGAAGAGAAAATTAATAGAAAAAAAATTAATTAAAATATGCATAAATTAACCTAAATAACCCTCATAGTTAAAAAAAATTATCATTAATCTTTTTGGAGTTACATTGCATTTAGATTTTTTTTATAGGATCGAGACTGTTTATTTAGCATCTCAATGCACACACACACAATGCAAAAAGCTCGTTCTAGGTGTAGGCAGCCTTCCATGAAACCAATCCGACAAACACTGGATAGAACTTAGAACTTACAACATTGTCATCTCTCTCTCTCTCCTGTTGAGTTCTTTGACCTCTAGTGCAAACGGAAAAGTTGAGGCCCAAATGGGGTGGCATTAAAGCCTTCTCTCTCCCTCGTAACCTTTCCCATAACTGTTGCTATCTTCTCCTGTTCCGTTTCCAAAGCTACAGAGACAGTCTGCAGGTGACCACCTCTCTCTTTCCTTTATTATAATTTTGTGGTCTCTTTTTTTATCAACTGTCTTGTCTCTGACTGTCTTCTTCTCAAGTGCCCCAGGTTTCTCCACTTGCCACAAGGCACAAACAAATCAATCTAGCAGCGGGGTGTGTGTGTGTGTCTCTCTCTCTCTGTGCAGAAGATATAAAGAGTCCACAGTAGTCTCTGCAAAAGATTCACAAACTTTCTCTCAACGCATACCCAATACACCAAACAAAGCTATTAAACCAACCAAACAAAAAGCAACTACAACAAACTCTCTCTCTCTCTCTCCATGGGCTTCCATCTGAAGCAACGGAGAAACCAGCAGCATGAGTCAGACTCAGACCAACAAGAACATTCTGCAAAGCTACCAAGACTTCTCCTTGACCACCCCCATCCACATCCACAGCAACCACCAGCTTCTGGATCTCCTGCCCTTCCATTGTTTGTACCTGAACCCACCAGCAAACTCAGCAACCTGTCAGCATACTCACATGATTCAACACCCACTGCCACCAAATTTCCGAGTAACCTCTCTCTCTATCTCTCTCATCTATTGTGGCATTTTCTCAAAAAGTTCACTTCCTGCTTTGGAAAGTCTCTGCTTGATTTGCTTCCAAGTTTACTAATGAGCTTTTATTTTTATTTTTTCGTTTTCCTTTTCCTTGTATGCTTTTTGATTTTGAAAGAGATGGGAAGTTACTTCAGCTTGGCCCAATGGCAGGAGCTTGAACTTCAGGCATTGATCTTCAGGCATATGTTAGCTGGTGCAGCTGTTCCTCCTGAACTCCTCCACCTAGTCAAGAAAAGCCTTCTCAATACTCCATATTACCTCTCCAACCCTCTTCCTCACTACCCCTATTACCAGCCAGCTTGTAAGTGTTCTCTCTCTCCCCTTTCTTGATTCACTTTAAGGATTCATCACACCAATGAGAATCATTTGCTTTGATAGGTAAATAAGGTGTCTAGTGATCAACTTCATCTGATTTGAGCTTTGTCTTCATTGATAGAAATGAGATCATGGGAATGCCTTTAAATTTTATGTTCTTTACTTGGTAAACAGAGTTTTCTTTGTCTATCTTTATCTACTTTCAGATTTCTAGGCAGTTTGTCTGTAATTTAATATACGATATTGACATGATACAAACAAAAGCTGGATCTATTTGTTATAGACTTATAGTGATTTGTAGATTTCTAGAACTGATTTTGAAGTTGGGTATTCTTTAGAGGGAAATGATGTGTGTGTGTTTATGAAATCTAATGTGTTTGAATATGGTGACTCAGTGCTACAACCAGGTTATTGGGGAAGAGCTGCCATGGATCCGGAGCCCGGCCGGTGCCGGAGGACTGACGGAAAGAAATGGAGGTGCTCAAGAGATGTGATGGCTGGGCACAAGTACTGCGAGCGCCACATGCACCGTGGCCGGAACCGTTCAAGAAAGCCTGTGGAAATCCCCACACCCACCACCGCCGTTCACGGTGGTACTGGTAATGGTGGTGGTGGAGTCCTCAAAATCAACAACCCCGTTGTTTCTCAGCCCCTAACCGCCGTGGCTGGTGGTAACAACCATTTTGGGCTTTCTGTGCCTTCACCTTCCATGGATCTCCTCCACTTCCATCAAAGGTACACACTTCACTTTCTCTCTCTTCGAATTTGGAAAAACTTGTGCCCCTGGCTTAGAGTTAGGGCTGAGGAACCATTATTATTGGGGACCAACTTCTGTTTGATATTTGTCAGACATGAGGTATGTAGTTGTCTATCATTAGACATGCTTGCTCCCTCAAATGGTGAAAGTGTAATACATGTTAACATCAAGGGATCCAAAGCACAAAACAGCTTGCTTTTTCCTCAACATACTTGTATTATTTTCAATTCACTTGGTGAGGTCAGGGTCCCCTAATGCAGACAAAAAATGCACTGTGGATTGCTAGAATCTAGATAGGAAAAAGCAGTACGGGTAGCTTAGCTGCGTGGAGTTTGGTGTGAACCATAAAACTTTGACATGTTAAGTTCGACCCTTGGTGTTGACGACTAGCTGATTTAACTGATACTTGTGGTTATAAAGTAATTGCGTATCCGGCATTTACGTTGGATCTAATGTGTAATGTGACACTACTTTAAAGAGATTGTTATCACCAAAAACAATCTCATTAGGGTAGGTGTTGGTCATTACCATCTATACTTGGTTGGACCCCATCTCGAATGTGGCCAAGGTCTGCTTGAAATCAGAGAAAAAGCTTTAATCTGAACAATCTGACCCCAACCACTTGTTATGCATCTAAATATCAAGGGGCCCTTGAGTTCTTTTGCTTTTTGTCCAATCTATTTCTTTGTCTAGTCTTTACTTCATGTTCTCTGTTTCATTGTAGGCCCTTGGAGTCAAAAACTGAAAACATGGGTCTACTTAGAGGACCCCAAAATGAGGTATCTGAGGACGGCAAATCCAATGGTGGAGTCCTTCGCCATTTCTTCGATGATTGGCCAAGATCACTTAATGAAACTGACAATGCTGAAAGCAATGGTAGCTCCGTGGCTTCGGCCACCAACCTCTCCATTTCGATCCCGGGAAACCCCTTGTCCGACTTCTCATTGAAACTGTCCACTGGTACTACTACTAATGGAGATGAAGCAGGGCCTCAAGAGGGCAATGTAGGACGAGAGAGACCCCATTTGAATTGGGCTGCAGCATGGGGGTCGAACCAGGTGGCTCCAATGGGTGGACCATTGGCTGAAGCATTGAGATCATCAACCTCCAATTCGTCGCCGACTAGCGTTCTACATCAGTTGCAGCGCCGCTCTGCGTCGGAGGCGAGCTATGTCAGCACCTGAATGTTGTGTTTCTTCAAGTTCTACAAAATCATGGATGTTTTAAATTTATTTCTTATGCTTTGCTTGCTCTTTTTTTTTTAATTGTTTCTTTCCATGTTGAGGTCTCTCGGTGATAGGTTGTGTATATTGTGGTGTTTAATTGATCTTAATTTAGACTCTGCTTGTGGGCATGAGAGTTATTCTTGCTCATCTTGATGGAGAAGAGGGTATGTGGTATGTGTTATATTGTGTTCTGGATGCCACAGATTGTATAACTAGAGAGCCATTGCACCCCCATCAAATCCCAGAGCAGCTCTAATGTGAAAATCTAATTAATTTAGGGGAAAGAGAATCAAATCAATGGAACTTTATAGCCTGCCTAATCTAAGACCATGCTTCAACCTAAAAAATTGAAGCTTTACCAAGAGAAAAGTGTACAACCCCCCCCCCCCCCCCCCCAAAACAAAAAAAAAAAAAAAAAAGAAAAAAAAAAAAACACCTTCTCTAATTGACAGCTTTTGTGTATTGAACTATAAATAATTGGGGAGCATGAAAGACTTGGTGTAAAAATTTAAATCATGAAAATGTTGTTTGAATTTAAAATGTTGACTTGATTAATCACAATTATTGAACAAAATCATAAGTTCTAATAAATCATGAGATTTACAAATAAATCAAAAGTAGTGATTGATAAAGTCATCATATTAAGTCAACATTTTAAATTCAAATAGCAATTTTCTTTAAATCAACTACTAGATTTTTTTTTCTTGCTAATTAAAAGGGTGATTAAGGAAAACCAAGTGTAACAATCCCTAAGAACGTTACCTTGAGATTCTCAATTGCTATAGAATGTTCAATTTGAATCATAACTATCAACTTGGAATCAACTTGGAATGGTCGAGCTCGTCACCATATTCCTACTAAGGAAAAGTTGGGCATTCAACTCATTTAGCCGTAACAGAGATTACTACCACAAACAAGTTCGAACCCATGAGTACTAGAAGAGGACGAGACTTTCCCCCTCTATTGAAGAGAAACAAGGCTACCATCCCGATGATATCAACTAAACTCTATTGGTTTCTGCTCTTAAAAGTTTATGTCAGTCAACAGAATCTTTATAAGTACATTTTGCCTCAATTCTATGCCCACTGCATTAGATGCAACTATTACCGGTAGGATTCAAAGACAACATCAATTCTAGTATGCTATACATGGAAACATGTCTCGGTAACCCCCAAAACCACCACCTTATTCAATGTTGGAAGATAACGCATATGTACAGAGCATAAAATTATACTCCCATTACTCCACTCTGATTTGTAAATTTACACATTCACCTGCCATCCGCTTCTTTCATGTATGCTGCGACTGCTGACCATACCAATCCAACTCCAAAAGGATTCTACATTAATAAGGGCCGGTTTTACCATGGAGAATCCAGTATCCATCCAGTCAAGCATCGAAAACATCCTTGAAGCAAAGAGGAGAATTACAATTAGACTGCGGCCTCAACGGGTTTCACTTCATCCTTTGTTAGTGCATAAACCACCACTGTTCTAGAGGGTGCATACACCAGAAATGAACGAGGTCGATCATCATGAAACCCTTCCTGCATAGACAAGGATGAAATTAAGAGACCAGAGACATTATATCAGAAGGATTCACACATGTTTAATATCAGCAGGTATGGCCTCTCTTACAAAGGTGAAGTATTCTGCATCGTGATTGATTCTACTGAAGCCTCCAAACAATGGATCATCTGAATCCAGGACAAACCTGGAAAAACAACACTGTACATTTACAGGAAAGCTTGATAGACATATGCCTACAAGTACACATAGCATAGAAAGAA